GATTGCTCTCGTCATTAAACCGCGGAGACGTTGCCTAATGCCTCAGAAAATCCGATCTGCCTGTTTACATGAAAGTCGCATTGGCACATATCTGATTTATATCTGATTTATTTCAACATATGAATGAGGCCCTGAAACCGATCTTGAAATATCCGAATGCATGCGTTTTTTTCCTTTTTACAACACGGAACACAACACATCCGATCTGTCTCACATAGCAAAAAATCGGAATTGGGTCACATTTCACTGACAGTGTAAACGCGGCCTGCACTTTTCAGCCCTTTTCTTGTTAACACAAACAATGAGGAGTTAAGAGTCTGACATTGCTGTGTGTGTGGGGTTTTTTTGGGGGGGGGGGGGGGGGGCATTGGGTAAGTTGTGTCAAAAGGGATGCCCACTGAAAACCCCTGAGCTATGCAATACGAAGTGACCGTTCTTGAAAGGGAACGTCAACGAACTCGGTTTCTAACGTAATCTCTATTCCCTGAGAGTAGGGAACGAGTATTGCGTAGTCTGCCGCACTATTGCAATCTTCAGGTGCTTTCACTTCAGTCGATTTAACCTGTGCAATGGTGAAATGGAGCGGGTTTTATAGCTATAGCCACGCCCATTCTGGCGGGCTCTGACATGCTTGGCGCTTGTTTCGCGTGTCTGAGCTGCCTCAGCACAGCCAATGGGCGAGCTAGTAGCTCGGTTGGTATTGCTGTGCAGCTGCACTGCGTTTTAAAATATAAGCTTCAATATTCTTGAGGAAAGGAGTTTCCCCACTGCGTATTAGCTACGCAATACTCGTTCCCTACTCTCAGGGAACCGAGGTTACGTTACTAACCGAGTACGTTTTTGGTGTTGCAAAACCTCCATACTGTATGAGGCTGCAGGGATTTAGAAGCCAGATAATACCTCCTTGACCTGGTTCTAATTAACAAAGTTCAGGACATTTCCATTGTTTTGTGTGCAATATCTATTCTGACACACACAAACCATTTCCAGCAGGTCGTTATGGCCGTTGGCCACTTACCAATTTATATTCTTTATTTTCAATAGATTTCTATTGTGGTGACAATGGATGAAAAGGATAACATTCTCGGTAATCTCTTTTCCAAATGTCCACACAAAATGTTCCAATGTATCCCCCAGTTTAAGGACGTTATCAGATTGGACCAGTGCTGAATCCCAAAGACTGCCCTGAGATGGACACCACCTGGCAGAAGAAAACAAGGGTGACCTAAAACAACATGGAGAAGCTCGTGATGGCAGAACTGAATGAGATGAGTCTGACATGGGGCAAGGCACAGCACGCTGCATCGAGTTAAGTGGAAGGAAATTGTTGTTGCCTCATGTCCCACTAGAAACGAAGAGGAGTAAGTAATAGTCAAGGAAGAGTTTCTTGAAAAATTCTTGATAACCACTTTAGCTTACTTTGGCAGGATGACAAGGAACATTACTGCCTCAGCTGCTCATTAGGATCTTTACCCCTCTTCCCTCCTTTTCTTTTCTTTCATTTCCTTTCCAAACACGTTGAAACGAAAAACCCTGTAGGGTCAATATTTCAGAAAAACTGCATTTTCTCAATTATTTGTTTTGGCTTCAGTTTACTCTTTTTTTCTCAGCCTGATACATTTACCTCATTTTGTAACATGTCATACTCCTCCTACTGACTCTGGTTCTTGTCTTTCCATCTGCTGTCAGAGTAGAGAGTACCATGTGTCCAGTCCTCTGGAAATAGGCCAACAGAAATTAAACATCAGTACTTATGCTCAATGATGTTGCACATGTCTTTCTTGTCAAGTTCAGAAGTGTTTTGCTAAAATTGTTTTGTTTAGAAAGTATTTATAGTTGTCAGTCCTGTATTTGACTCCATATATGGTTCTGTGTGTGCCTGTGCGGTTTAGCTTTCGGCAACTTACAGTGAAGGAGATATGAGCTGTGTGCCATCGGAAGGTTCTAAATCCAGTCACTGTTCTTCACTGGAGAGGCTCCCGTCAGTTTTGTGTTCTGTGCGACTCAAATACCATGCAATGCATGAGATGCCAGTGCAACAGTTAAAGGCGTCCATCTAGTGCGTTTTTACATCAAAGCTTCAGTCGGTTAATGGAGATTTGAATTGTAAAGCTCTATATTTGAATTCTTACTAGTAAAAATGCAATTACGACGAGTAACGCTGGGAACATTTTAAGCTAGACAGATTAACTTGTCATGTCAAAAAAGTCAATAGATGTTTCAGCTTTATGGATTCATGGGCCATCTTTGATATTACTATTATAAAGGTGCAGTGTGTGATTTTTAGCGACATCTAGCAGTTCGGTTGCGAGTTTGCACTAAGGGCTCAGCCCACTGCCCACCCCTCCCTTTAGAAGAAGCTACGGTGGCTAAAACGGGACAAACATATCGTCGTCTGAGACAGCAGAGAATTGCCAGAGTAAGCCAAGAGTGTGTAACATTGTCACTGTTTCTGTACCACAGTCCATTATAAACCACATCATGGTTTATAATAAAGTTTACAAAGCCATAGTCAGGTGAGGATCAAGGGTCTTAATATATAATATAATAATAGTAATCAGCTGATTGTCTCACAAACGTAACCAGCACATTTCTCCCCACATAGCAAACCCATAATACAGCGAGGGAGAAGAACCATATGAAACTATGCAACTATATATTTTTTCTAACAGGGTAGTAAAAGTTTAGCTGGCTAAATATGAGCTGTCACTGTGGCTGAGCTGGTTAAAGCGTAAAGCCTTGTTTAAACTTGACACGTCCGCATGAGCCCAAAGGTGCGCACGGCAAAAATGACATGATTGTAACAGCGCGCGCGCCTCCGCATATAGACACCATACACACAATAGGCTTTTTTTCTCTGATTTTGAAAACTCTTCGTGATCGACTTACAATGCTTCCAAGATCGACTTGTCGACCGCGATCGACGGGTTGGTGATTCCTGTAACATACTGTTTTACGGTCAATGACAAGAGTACTAATCAGCTGTCTCACGAATGTAACCAGCACATTTATCCCCACATAGCAAAGCGAGGGAGAAGAACTAAGTTACATGAAACAATCCAATTTTACACCATTGACAAGGGAAAAGTCAGTACTGGCGGTGTTTATGGCTAGCTTCTATGTTTCTGCGGCTTCTCTTTCAAGGTAGTGACGAAACGTGCTCTGTAGCGCTGTTTGTTCGCTGTCGGCTACGGTAGAAACATGACGTCACAATATGTCGACCTTCATAGAAGGGGGTGCCCGCGGTTATAGATATAAATGTCTCATTCTAAGGTAATAAAAACATTACGGTTTATTAAGTAAGTTCTTTATACACCACTGAAAACATAGTTATGGATGTCATATGCATTTCTGTTAATAGATACTCAAAATTTTTACACATTGCACCTTTAAGAAGTAGGGTTTGTGTAGGGTAAGTCATACCTTACCCTAGTTGGTTCATCTTGTTTTATTGTATTTTATGTGTTTGTATGGTGATTGTACTGTACTTTTGTCTGAATGTGCAGTTGTTAAGGTGCTTTATAAATAAATTAAATAAAAAAGAAATATCTAAATATCCCAAAACTAGGAGGCATTCCAGTAGACATACTATTAGCAAAACAGAAGACATTTGCCATCCAAATGTATGTTTTTAAAATTGCACTATGCATGTCATGCTTTTCCCAAAGAATAGGATTTGTGAGTCTGGTGAAGGAAGCAACGCTTGCTCAATTCAGCAAGTTAGACTAGAGGTGTTTATCATGTTTATCATGCTTCCATGGTTGGCATTTGATGTTAGTTAACTGTGTTATTGTTGTGATGCTTAGACAATAACAGGAAAATCAGATAGATAGCATTAACAGAAAGGAATTCATTTCCTCAGGGTCAAGTGCTGGAGTGCTTTCCAGGGTCTGTGTTCCTATTTTCTGGAGCAGTAGTCAAGTTCAAACAAGTCAAGTAAAACATTGTGGGGGAGTTCGTAAAGGTGTTTTCTTTCCAGTGAATTACAGTATAGCAAAGGTGCACTTGAGTCTGTTCAGCGTCCATCTATAGGGCATTTTCTTTACCGTGGTCCTGACAGTCTCAAGAGATTTATATGCTTGCCATTAAAGATCTAATAAAAGCAACTGGAAAATTAAAGTTGGCTTGTGTTTGTCTGAGTGTGTCTTTGTTTTTGTATTTTTGGCAGGAGTTTTGTGTGTTTAAGGGAAGTTCAACAAACTGCCAGCAGGTCTTTATCTTAGTCTTATCATACACAAAGCCATCTACAGAAGTTCCTGTTTTTCTATTTTTGCAGCTCTCAGACCTACACAAATGAGGCTTGATAATTTTGCAAAATTTGTTCTTCATTTTCCAGCCCCAGAATTTATCTATGTTTTGGATAATAATAAAGGCTTAAGACATTTCTAAAACTTTCTCACAGGACAGATATGGAAAAAACAAAACAAAAACATGGCAAGAATACCCATGATAACACCAATGGAATGAGTACAGGATAGATATGCTATAGACTGTTTCAACAGCTAATGTACACAACACAAACGTGGCATTACAAATCGAAGACAATACAACAAAACAAACATTAAACATAAAAAAAAAAAAAATACAAAAAAACCTTCATATTTGAATTATTTCGATGTTCCTTTAGTAATATAATTTCTGAGATTATTATTACACATATGTAAATCCGTTTTAATAACTTAAAAGATTATTGTTGTTTAATGATTTTTTTATTCGCATAAAAAAGAATAGCGTTGCTCGAGGATTGCATGAGACACTGATAATATTTATTCCTTTGACCTCAGCGGAGGAGGCGGCGGCAACAGTGTCTTTCTATTGTTTTAATTTTGCAATAATTGTGTTAAAAAAAACATTCTTAGGACAAACTGATTAATAATTATCACAAAGAATGTTGATATTTCAATCACGGGACGGCATATTGTCTGTACTGTAACACTGTACAAAGCGGAAAATGACGAATCCCCCCCTCCTTGAAGAAATGGTATGCGCGGTTCCTATGCGCTCAAGTCTGTTGTTCTCTCCTACAGAGTCGTATTCTTACTATGGAGACTAACAGCAATAAAAATAGTGACAAATCTCAATTCTAAATACCAAACAACGAACATGGCTGCTTTAAGGAAAAACAAATCTCCTGTAATGACCGCTGCCGTAAGGTAATTATTGGTTTCCGTCGTTTATTTTCGTGCCGGTTATATTATAGGCACAATGTGTTTTTATTTTTAAAAAATGACGGTTGTTGAGGATTGCAGGCCAACCGTCCGCTCGCGCCACATCCATTTAAATATATCGTGTCAAAAGAAAGCTTCAGTATAGTAAGATGCTAAAATTACCAGTTTTTAAATAAAAATGTAATTAGCTTGTCGTTGAGCTAACTGTCGAGCGCCCCCGCCCACCCCTCAGTGTGAGGTCATTATTCTCGCTTGATTTGTGATCCTCAGACACTTCTTCCGTTTCCAAGATGATGACAGCACAGGAAGACTGTAAACATCCGCTCGCCTTGGTTTTGGTTAAATATGACCCTAAATATATGGATTTAGCTATGTATTGATATCAAACTAAAATCGATCCTTTCTTCACTTGGTCATTAACGTTACATGATAAATTCAGTATAACCAGTGATATTTGAATTCATTGTCGAAATATATCTACGTTTATTTCCCTCATAATTACGTGTCCCTAAATCCATTTTGGCTGCACATTTGGTTTTGAATAGACATAACTAAAAACAAATATGTTTCTGATAGTGTACAGTTGTAGTGCTTCAGCCTAACGATTTGGGGTTGACCATATTCTTGTTTCTCACCAACATTCTCATATATAAAGGCCTTTCTTTCTTTTCTCTCTCTCACCTTACTTGATCATGTTAAAGGGAGTAATTCACCCAAATTCACAGACCAATTGCAAATGTTTTCTTGAAAGTGTAATCTATTGAATATTATCTACAAATAATTAAATACCATTCAATATTTTATTAATGAGTAGTGCTTGTTTTGTGTGTTCTTAGGCAGCCATTGGCATACTAGGCCAGTTGGAAACAATTAACTTTAATTATCCTTTTTGTATTATACACACACATATTAAAAATTGATTGAATTAATTAAAACTGAACCTACATTACTGACCTGAGCTGAAATCGGTTAAAACCATTAGACACTCATTCATGAGTTCACCAGATAAACATCATCCAGCTGCGATTTTTTAAAATGTTTTGAAACCAATGTTTGAAACAGTATTCCGCATCTAATCCTCAATTTCTGAATTCACATGAGTTTGATACACACGTTAAACCACTGATTCGAAATAAAAGTGTTTCAGAAGCACCCATCACTAATTATGACATGACAAGCTAGAACCAGTGGTGTTTGACATTATAAATGTTTTAAGTAAGGAATAATTGACGACGGGCCATTGAATTATTAGAAAAATAATGCACACCTGAGGTTTACACCTTTACATCGTTACACCTCAGGTTGTGCATTATTTTTCAATAATTCAACGGACCGTAGTCAATTATTTGGCTTAGACTACGGTTACCACACCTTAAAACATTGTTCAGATGATGTGTTTTAAGACATTTGTCAGGTTTTTTTCTTCCATAAAACGCTCTTGTGTGTAGGACTAATTTCTTATGCATCTAATCCCAAGCCTCCGTTGCTAATTCCAAAACTTAATTTTAGAGCTAGTAACGGAGGCTTCAGCCACTGATAGCAGACTAATGCAGTTATTATATATAGAGAGAGAGATTAAGCATGTGTAAATTACTTAATTCCATGTGTCTCTAGACAACTATATGCTCTCAACAGTGTTTGGCAGCAGCGTTTCTACTAATAGCGAAACTGTAAGTTTATCTGCTCCAAGGACGGTGGCGTTATTACCTTGCTAGTGAGAAATGGCATGAAACGTTTAAGTTGCTAAACTATTTACATTTTTATTGATAAAATCGTCAGAGCAGCGCTGACAACACGTTTCTGTGCAGGTGTGTGTCCGTACTGTATGTGTTTGGTTTTGAATGGGAGAGAGAGCGGGGGAAAGAGAGTATGTGCTTTTCCATAATAAATAATACATACACATAATACATAATAAAACGTAATTTTGTAGCGAAAAAAACCCCCCCCCAAGGAAATAATTTGTCGTTTTTATCCTATAGTTACTATATTTATTTGCCTATAGTTACTATATTCATTTGCTTGGTCAGTGTCGTTGTGGGTTTGGGTTCTTTTTCTGTTGTAGGCTGTAAGGACCTTTGAAATAACTGAAATCATTTGGCTAAGGGATATGGAACTGTAATGCGGTCAAGGCCTACCTGGAATTACTTTAGCCGTACTTTTTCCTGAAAATAATTGCACTCCAGAATGTTCGGCAACAGATCAGATCCAAGCATTCAACAGCCCCGTAGTATAAGAATCTTTAATGAATGCAATGGCTCTGGTATAGAAGAGATTATCAGTTAATAATGACTTAAAATTCAGTCTGTTCCTCACAAATATATCACATGACTTCAGAACACTTGGATCATATAAATTACTTTTGTACTCCATTTTGGAGCTTGAGAGGTTTTGGTCACCATGAATTGCCCTTGAATGGAAAAGAGCTGCATAAAAGTTTGGATGGACATGAGGGTGAATAAATAATGATAGAATTTTGAATTTTTTTGCATGAGTCCTATAAGGTGTTCGTCCTTCCTATTTCGAGTAATGCAGCATTATATTGTTTTCGTAATAGAGTTTTGTTATTTCCTGTACCATGTTGAGTGACTGTAATGCAATGCTGTTTTGCAGCTGCTCCCGCTTACGGCAGGTCCAGGCTCTGCTAAGGGATGATGTTAAAACAGCTCCAGATGGCATCCTTTGCTCCCTGGGTGAGTTAATTAATCAATATCACATGTGCTCTTTCACTCATGTAGCCTAATCTTTACTCCAAAGAGACAGGTGGAGAGGGCTTGCTCCAGTGAGCCACCTGTAAGTAATATGCTGTGTTTGATTTTTCAGGTATTGACAGCCGCTACAATGAAGGCTGCAGCGAGCTGGCCAGCTACCTTTTCTGTGGCTTGTATAAACACAACCATTTTGACATGGATCAGATTCCAGAGGACTTCCCAGAGGAAGTTTTGGATGGTACGGCAACCTCTCATCCATTAATATTCACTAATAAGCTATTTAATTGCAGTCAGTCATTCTTGGTAGGAATGAGCACATTTGTTGTACATCTTTTTGACTTTGTGCTGTTGTATGATTGCTTTTTCCTAGATGTGATCATCCTTATTAAGACAGAGTGTGTCCATCTGTACTGCAACCCAGTGAATTATGGGTACTTGCTTCCCTATGTATCTCACTGGAGGAATCTCCACCTCCATTGTCTGACTGAGACAGAGGTAATGATCTACTCTACTTTTCATCATCTCCACATCTTTACTAGGGATGCACCTATATTACAATTTGAGCTGGAAGAATAGAGGGTATGCATTGACGTCACTTTCCCGCCAGAACACGCCCCCCTCATCCGGACTGAGTGGAAAAAGAGCCTGCTGCGTGACTGGATTCAATAGGGGAAACTGCGATAACGCGAGTAAAACAAACGATTATCAGTTTAAACTAAAGGTTGGACTCGATATAGTGTTCCTTACAACTTACCAGTGATCCATAGATATTGACATGCAGCCGGGAATCATGTTTCCTGTCATTTATATGTGCCTGATTTCGACGCCAGGGAAATACATTTAAAGCAAATTTGCTTGTGAACGCTTTATATAAATACATATAGGTAGGTCTAAATTCGTGTGATCACTTCATCAATATCATGTTATATCTATATCATATATATATATCATATCGTCCAGCCTTAAAACTTGTATAGTTTTTTTATCAGTGTTTATTTAAAAACATTCAATTATGCAGAATATAAGATGGTAAATATTTAATTGATGAGTTGTCAATACAATATATAACAATACAATATGGTATGATTTTACCCCTAAATCCAGCATATTCTCTTTTCTGTAGCTTTCGGCAGTCTGTTAAAATAGACCTCAGATTTCTTGTCAAATCTAGTTGTACAGTCAATCTCAAAGCTCGTTCCCGTTTTAGATGTGTTTTGAGTATTTTTTGCAGCATTCACGCTGAAAACAAATGCTGCCGCTCAGTCTTTTTGCCACTTAGTGGGCCTAACCACAGTTACTCCATCCGACGGTGACGTCACGCGCATACTCTCTATAGGCTGATCTTTTTTTTTCCATGTTGTGGCAGATATTAAAAATTCTATACTATTTTGTCTAAATATAAAAATAACACACACGAACACATTTAAATGATAAAATATATAAAATAAATTATAAAAAAAATATATAAATTGTGAGATTTGCTTGAGATTTAATTTAACCGTTATTAGTGTTCTTAAATATTAATTTTAAGTGAGAAAGACATCTAAATGTAAATAAAGAGGGGAAATAGCATTTAAACAATGAAATATCTGATAATATATTTCCAATGTTGACTGTCTGTCACACACTCATATTCATCCACTGGTTCATTTATCTCAGATCACCTATTAGTTGTTGTTTTTTTCACCTATTTTGCTGTTTATCTCTTAGTATGAGGATGAAGAGGTTGCAGAGGAATTTAAGATCTCAAGTTTTGTGTCCATGGTTCAAGACTGCCATTGTATTGGAATCCCCTACAGTTCACATGGTAAGCATGTGATACACCGATGTAGGTATCGAAAAAGTATTGTACTTTTGCCCATCATATTTATGGTTGATTCATATACTCCATAGACCAAGTTCAGAAGTTTGACATGTTTATGTTGGAGAAGTGGCCCATCATTCAGGCATTTGCCTTGGAAGGAATCGGAGCTGGAGGGTTTTTCACCATGAAATATAAGGTTTTGTATTTCTACTCTATTACTTATACATGACTTGGGTAGTATATACATTGTATAATATATAACAGTTGTATATTATTATATAATATGATTGATACTAGAGTAAAGGCATATAAACTAAGACAGCTTTTGTTATGTCCTTCAACAAAATTGTTTGTCTTGCATCTTGCAGCTCACAGATGTAAGTCAGAGACTCTGGCAAATCTACAGCAGATTGGACCCAGTGTCTCTAGACTGCCTTCTCAATGAGGTAAAACACTTGCATAGATCGAAGCATGATTGTTTACCTTTCACATGCCCATGCATGCACCCATTTTTTTCTTATACAAGAGTGGGTGTGATATTCTCTCACAGGACCTTCAGCTGTTCGAAAGACAGTGGAGCTGTCTGTTCTCCAGTATGGAAATTGAGAGTGCACTGTCCATGCAGGAGCTGTCAGAGGCCCAAGTTGCAGAGGTACTGTTTGGAATATTATCACTACCATAATTTTGCAACAATTTAAAGTCAAAATTAAATATCAAAGTTGGTTTATTTACTTTCAGGTGAAGTCACCTAGGTTGCAAGAGCTGGGAAAAAAATTGTTAACCAAATGTCAAATATGAGCTATTTAGGCATTGTAGTTTCCACGAATGTCTGCAAACTCAAATTTAGGGCTCCTGTCTGGTTTTTAGCCATTTTTTTAACCATTTCATGTTGGCTGTAACAGTCACTGAAAATAATGTGTTGGTTATGATTCATTGTATGATGCCTAATCTCATTTTCTGTCTTTCAGCCTTTCAGAACATATTATTCACATGGTCTTATTTCCAGCAATATCACAGACAAGAGGTATTTCCATATGATACAGTAGCTCTTATTTCCAAGACGTTCTGGAGGAATTATTTTTGTTTATTACAAAGTTTATTATTTTGTAAGGCATATGATGTATTTTACATTGTTTGCACTGCAGTAAAAGCAGGCAGCCATTCGTTTTGTTTGGGAGTCACTCTACTAAGGAAGATCTGGAGAACTACTGTTTCACCTTTCCCTCTGAAGGCCACCATGTCCGCAACACAAGCCCTGCTGGGGGTGTTGCAAAACACATGGTGAGACAGCGCCACACAGCGGCATGATGACTCAGACCTCAACTTTTACATGAATTCCTTTCCTTCCTTTATGTATTTTTATGCATACAACAATTTGATATCTTATCTCTCTCACAGCTGCTGCAATGTGTGGCTCCTAAAGGGCCACTAGCCTGCGCTCGAACCTATTTCTTTGGAAGCACACATGTCCCATACTTGGGTAAGACGTGTACCTCTGGAGGATGTTTTTAATGAAATAATTTTCAATTTCCCCGCACTGTGTGATGTTCACTGGTTTCTTTAATCCAACAGGAAATGACAATACCCAGCAGAAGAGCACAGATCTCCAGTAAGTACTCCAATCGTGCTTTGTACCATGTTTTGATCAATGGATTGGTACTAAATTTAGACCTGTTGTGTTACAGGCTGCTTTCACATATCTACTCAGCTGCGGTTCAGTCTGTACTGGCAGGAATCAAATGTTTCTCTATCAACTCCAGTGCTAGAAAGGTAAAATTACACTCTCAGAACTGTGACGAACATTAATGTAGGATTTACATTAAAAGTAAAGTTTATTTACCAATAAAATAAAAAGGCAACTTAAGATGGGAGAGCAATCTTTGAATGTGGGTACATTTTTTTTCCATTTCAGAAATAGCCTTCCGATAACTATAACCATAAAGTTTTAAAAACTCCAAAGGAGCGATCGCATTAGCGAAATTTTGCAGGCAAAAACGTACATTGTTTATTGTCAAGTGTAGCGATGCATGAAGCACAGCTCACACAGAAGTCATTTTTCAAACCAAGCAGCTTTCTTTTGGTCAACAAGTGAGTGTGTGACAAACTTTAACGAAGCCTGCAAAAAGTCTGCGTGGGGAAATCTTTCACCCTCACAAAAAATTCCACATCGCATGAATTCCTATAAGGATGACTGGATTTTACCCATGAACATTTGCTGAACAACTGTAAATGTGATCGCACCTTAAGAGAACAGTGGAGTCCATGCCACAACTATAACACTAATGACACATTAGTGTGAATTATTGCTGGAACTACTTTCAGAGAGAATTCATATAATAATGATTAAAACATTAACAGCCAATCAAATTCTTTCCTACTTTATAGCACATGCTGCAGTTTTGTTCATTGAACATTACTAAAATACAAGTTATTGTCTGTTGTGTGGATGCTAATATAGCTGTCGTTATAGTTTTCATTCTTGGTGTGAATGGGCCTTTATTACAGTCAATTTATGATGCCATCATTTTGGGTATAGAAATATTGCTCAGGTTATTATTATAGTAAATGATGTGCACATTTTTTCAAGGCAAAGGATGTAGCAGAACAAACGTTTCAGCTGGCCTTGGACAATTTTGGGTTGATTCAGTACAAGGGAGCTCTCAGGTATGCAACACACACAGAAATCACACTCTGTGGCTATAAAAAGGTCCAGAAGAAATCTGAGGAGACTTTATTTATTTATTTATTTTGCTGCATTTTCTGAGCTGGTTTAGCAGTGAATACTATGATTGGATTTAAACATTATCAAATCTGTTAAACAGCTGAGAGCACTATTTTCTTATAAGAAGGTGAGGTATGATCAAATTTTATTAAAAAGACTAGAGGAACACAAGAGAATGTGTAGAACTGCCAGACGTTCCAGTTGGCATTCAAATCTGGCGTTCAATTGGCGTTCAAATCTGCTTAACTTTCTCTGGGGTTCTGAGCATTCAGATCGCTTGTGGGCCTTCGCTATAAGACACTGGTTACTAAAAGTGATGTAATGTGAGAAAAAATGTCTGCTTGCATTGTGAATTGAGAATCTACTTTGTCTATTTAATTTAGGTCCAAAGCTGTGTTTAGCATACAGGCTGTCAATAATGAGGGAACGTGAGTTTCTATACACACAGCTATTCCCTTCACATGTTACACTGTATTATACACTTTCCATTTTCTGTTCTTTCAATTGGGTTATTTCGTATTTCATAACTGATATAAAAGATAAACAATCTTCGTTTACACAGAATCATTCCCCTCAGTGATGAGGACAGTCGCTTTCTGGTAAAAACTGTGAGTAAAAACTTTTCAACCCCAGCTGCAGCTTTTCATTGTACGGCTGACTAAATATTTTCATTGTACAGCTGACAAAAAATGTCTTACTTCTCCACAGGCATCCATGATAGTGTATGATATCCCAGATCCCCAGTGTGGAGGAAACCTAGGATCAATAGTTTTCTCTGAATCCTTTCTAGAGTCCAGCGTTTACATTCAGCAGAGAGGTAAGAATCCATTTACTGACTGTATTCAGTTTAAAGACCTCCTTTGGTGTATGTTGTTTGTATGTCTATGTGGTGTTTTTAATGTACTTGACAAACCATGTGCAAATTCATCAGTCAACACCATTGCTGAGTTTTTTTTTTTTCTTAAAAATGGTACACCAACTAACCTTTTAAGTGCTGAAAAACTGGACTTGTGACTGCAAGGCATCTCTTCTTCTGCAGATGGCGCCCTTTCCTCTGATAGCTGTTTCACTGTGCTCACCTCCTCAGTTCCTCGCTATGTCTGCTGGCTGGTATAGTGCACTCATATTCTCTCTCTACATGCGCAGAGATCATTTTTGATTAAATGCTGAGTTAATTAATTAACGTCTGTGTGTTATAGGTAGATGAGGCTGATGTGCGAATGTCTGAACAGGCTCAGCATCTGCTTAAGGTGAAGTTTCACAATGCAGTGGTTTGTGCAAAACATTGAAACTCCTCCCTCATGCTGTTCTAACTCCTGTATATGCTTTAATACCTGTGTGTGTAAAAACAGAAAGAGGATGGTACGTGTTTGGGCATTCCTCTTACAGTGAGAGACTCTGCCTACATGTTCTCCAACAGCCTGCTCTCTACACCGGAGGAAGGTCAGATTTCACCTTTATTGGAAGGTCATGGATTCAAGTAGTCCTTGTGAACAGGCAATAATGATTTTGTAATGTTTTTATTTTCTTGTAGGGAAGCTGGTGTTTTTCTCTGAGGGTATCCTGTTTGTACATCCACATTATGGCTCCATCACACTTTCTATGAGTCACATCAACACAATTAAACTCTATGATGGGGTGAGAAATGTTCTCATTCATGATATATGGGGTCAGAAGGATGCAACTTGATCAAAAGTCACATTAAAGATTTCTATTTCAATTTTCAGCTTTACCATCACAGGAATAAATTACATTTTAAAATATATTAAAATAGCTATTTTAGATTGTAATAATATTTCACAATTATATCGTTTTCTTTGTATTTTTTATCAAATAAATGTAGCCTTTGTAAGGATAAGAGACTAATCAAAAACATCAATTTTCTACTTTTGAACGATATGCATATATTATCAGTGATGTGTTTGTATTGACTAAATGTATATAATGGTTTTTTTTTTCCCTCACAGGGCTCTCTGTCTGATATTTCAGTGCTGTTCATCGAGTATCAGACCTCTCTGCTTCGACACCTTCCATTCCCTTTACACAGCAATGAGCTCTCTCTGGCCATCGCTGTACTTCCCAGAACCAAGAGCTACAAAAGCTTCTATTCACAGGTGCTCACACACATACATATGCAGGTGGAACATTTAGGTTTCTGTCGTCCTGCAGAGTTGTTGTATTCTGTTTAGTGTGTGGTTGTAAATGAGTCGTGATATGATATTCAGGTCCTGCCAGCTTGGCATAAGTCAGACTCTGGACTGAGAGTGCAGCACGTCCTCCATGATCAGCTGAGCCCTGAGCACAAGAGCATGTAAGATAACACTTCATTCTGCATTAGCTCAGCCAACAGCATAGGGCCTGATTTGTTAAGATCTTATTTTGTGCTTGAGCCCAGAGGTATCATGATTTAGCATATGATGGTATCCGATGACGTGTTTCCTCTCAGGTACTTCAGGCTGTTTAAGCTTCATGAAACACATTCTCCAGCGGCAAACAGCCACAGAGCTGTTCTGAAGACTGCTTATCCACAGCTGCCAGAGCAGGACAGGTAACACACACACAAACATGTACACAAATAGACCCTGTACTATCCAGGGATGATGTGGCTGAATGCCAAGCGATAAATCAACTTCTTTCTTTTTAATCTGAACTTTTGACCTAACAAGCTATGACTATGACAAGTCACAAGACATTTTGCCGATTGCTTGGTTTTCGTCTTTGAGTCAATATGGTCCAAAAATCTGTCTATTTTGCATTATTTAATGTAGGTTAATATATTTTTCTTTTTCATTATAAATTATATCATCATAATCAACTTACATTTCAAATTGTCTAGTGTATATATATAATTAATTAAAAATGTCCCCCTCCTGCCAATTTGGCTAAGTACATTTTTAAGTTACTGGCCATTCAGAACTTAATAGCCAAACAAAGAAGAAGAAATTAACCAGCTTAACTACGTCACAGCTTATATGTATATATAGGCCTATATATTACAATTTGGATTTCATACATTCATTTCTTATTCAAACAAAATCCTAGCTGTCATCCAGCCATCTCCTCCCTTCCTCATTCATTGTGTTTTAGGTGGACAGATCAACACAGTACAACCAACATGTAGGATGTTGGAAAGTAACAATGTCTCTTCTGTTAACCAAATGTTTTTTTAATCTTCCCTATTGCTACAATGCAAGTGAACAAGCGTGCCGTTATTTGTTGCTTAGTGACGTGTGTGTTCAAGTAAGCCAAAAATGCGCAGATTATGCGCAATACGCTGTAATTTAATAGATCACGATGACCATTGAGCATTGCGCATCAATTGAGCATCTAAATCCGCACAGATTTGGCTTACTCAAACTTTCCCAGCTAAAAGAATAAACATAGTAACACGCCAAATTGGCTAGTGATTTGACAGCGTTACCCGCCACAGTTGATTTTTACCAGCATTTGGCGGGTTGGCGGGTGTTCTGTATGTGTATACATATATAATTATTCTTATTTTCTTATTGATTTACATTAAGTTTGTTGCTTTGTTTATGCACATTGGTGTTCAGGTTTCTACAGCATTTTGCCATCAGCAGTAGCGTGGGAGAAGAGTCTGTCTGTAGCGACCACTTGTCTACTGTGTTTTCAGACACCGTACCTGAAAACACCATACCTGAATCCAACAAAAAGGTGAAATGCATCTGTATACACGGAACATAGTCATACATAATCTAGCCGACAGGTCATGCTGGAGGAAACAGACCATATGAATAATAATAGATAAATGTGTTTGTGTGTGTAGGTGGTCCTCACTATCATTTCAGGCTTGCCGGGCAGTCATAAGGAGAATCTGTGTGATTTCTTGATGGAAGTGAATCAAAATAGCACCAGGTGAGAGAACAATCAAGATGCCATGAACCATCATTATAACTATACTAATACATTTAAAATTGGATGTAGGAGATTCCTAGTGAGCGATATTTATGACTTTAATATGCTTTGCTGTACTACCATTGGAAGATGATTCAAACCTAATTGCAATTTGTACTTTGTGTTCTGCTGCACTCTTTAAGTAGAAGGTTGGAAATTTTGACTTTCTGAGTTCAGTGGAATGTATTTTAGATCATGGTGCACAAATTACTATCTTTATACTCCTAAACTGAGTATTGTTTGATTGTCAGGTGGGAGGTGTTTTGCCCTTCTCTGGAGGGCTCTGAGGATTTCAGTGCATCACACCTTCAGCGGTTCCTGAGCAGTCTTCTGGCCAAACAGAGGGACACAGATCTGAACTCATCCAGAGTTCTGCTGCTTATACCAGGGTAAGACAGACATGAACACTGGCTCAGAACCTTTTGATGTGCGCATTGAGGATCACATTTAAGTCGCTCACTATGTATTGAGAAACAATTAAATTAACTGACCATTGTTTTTATGACATGAGTTTGTGTGGTTATGTGTTGTAGGTACACTGATGTGCTGGATGTAATCCAGGCAATCACGGCTCATCCAGACCCACAGGTTCACAGCCAAGTGACAGTGGGTGCCGTCTCAGCCTGTGTCAACCCACTCACATCCTTCATCAAACACAGGCAAGAGTATTTCCACATTCATATTGTAAATGCTGTAATAAGAATTATATGTCATTATGCAATTATAACACAAGTCACTTAAGGGCCTGTTAACACACTGTAATTTCCCTTGGTTGATGTCATATCTGAAGCTCTCTGAAACTGCTCTTCACAGGCTTCTCTTCCCCAAACTCCTGGAACAGTGCAGTCAGGGTGAGTTTCTCTCAATAGGGTGAGAGTATTTGTGCATGTTGTAGAACAGATGATCAGATCTGTTTCTGGTGTGGGGTCATATCATGTGGAATCAAATTTTTCTTGGATCTTTTTAGAGATAGAATGTTCTTTGTACTATGAAACCTATTATAAAAAAACTTGAAAGATTAAAATGAGACTGCCTGGACACATTTACAAATAAACAATGCAACTTTCTATAGCCGCTTTTCCTCCGTCAGGCCAAACGGTTCTAAGAATGGTAAAGAACGGTTCCAGTTGTATTTCCACTTGAGCCTACGATTACAAACCGTTCTCGTACCAGAACCATGCTGGTAGAATGCGTGTAGTGACGTCGCAACTCAGGATTTTTCACTTGTCCGTTGCCTTGCTACCAGTTTCTCTGTAGCTGCCTAAGCGTGCTATTTGAGCTGCGTAAACACAAATTAATAAAATTAAAAGAAATATCCATAAAAATATCCTCCATAACGCAGTCCCTATTTACATCTCATATCATTTGTAAACTCTTGTGTTACCAAGGCAATGACTGACACATTTGTATTGCATTCCAAAGAGCTCTGTTATCAGCCCCACAGTGGAAAATGAAACCATATCCGTGCCGGCTGGCCCTGAACAGCACGGAATGGAATGGTTAAGCAAAGAGAGGTTTGGCCCAACGGTGGAAAAACGGCGGATGTCTGCATATCCCTCTGAAGAATCCCATGATTAGAAACAAGCGTTATTTTCAACAACGTCCCTGATCATTTTCGTCTGACATGAACAATATCAATCAAACTGTACCGAGTGTATGAAGACAGTGAGCCATCACCAATGTGCCCTTAATTAAAGCAGCCTCATTTTAACCTCAGCACTTTAGGGGAATTGCCCCAGTAATAAGTGCACTGTAAGTGGTTTTGGATAAAACGTCTGTTATATGATTCCTTATATGAGTTTCTGTTTTAGGTGTTGTCAGCAATGTTGTCTTCACGGGTTTGACTACTGAGCAGAAGCACCCACTTCTCAAACACATGCAGCAGCTGATCCGTGCAGCCAATCCCAGAACTGCATTTATCTTAGCAGAAAAAGGGGTGGTTCGAAGGTTTGTACAATGATAATTCCTCTGACATACACTCTCATATAAATGTAATGGTAATTTCGAATGTTTTTTTGTATTGTAGGACTGAAGATATAAGTCTTATTCTGGATGTCAGCAATTTCTCACAGTCTCATATGATCAATGCACGATACCTTCTGTATCCTGGCTGGTAATAGTCTCGTTCTCTCCTCTTTTTAGTATATGTGTGGACATACAAGTGGATGTTTAACTATACTGGACTATACTGTGTATTGTTTCAGGTGGGAGGGCCGGTTTGTGTCTGGAAGTGGAACTTTATCTATTTCTCAGCATCGTATTGAGTTCAGTCGTCCATTAGAGAGAGCGTTATTTCTGCAGCGCTGCAAAGGTAAGCATCTTTTTGTGTGTGTATTTATCATCATCAATAAGACTGTCACAATCATGACATTCTGGTTTGTTGATTATTTCTATTACAAATAATTAGCAATTTAATTGTCTTTTTTGTTCATTTCATTTGTAGTGTAACTTAATACACATATGTACCTTAATTTAATCACACTGAAATACAATATGTTTGATTTCCTTTGTAAATAAATATTGCACAGAGCACTGTTGTTATTAACAACAAAAAAACATTACTAAAACATGAACAACATTATTAAAACACAAAAATTTGAATGAAAACTGAAATGTTAAAAATATCAGCTAATTCAATATATTATTATATTATGCTATAGTATATAAATAATACTAAATTATCACTGGCACAGAGTAGAATGACATAAAGAATAATAAGTAAAATATTTATTTGATTATTTCCTAAATTCTTCACACTGCATTGTAAGGTGGTCTGGATAAAACCCTCAAATTTTCATTTTGCACAAAATCTATTTATTTATTTATTTAAAGATTAAGAATGTAAATTGGGTCAGTTGTAGTTACAAGCAGAACATCTCTTGAGATGGTCTGAATTCTCGCATAATGCACATTAATGCATTGAAAAGAGACGTAAAATGTGCATTTAATGGCAAAATGATTATTTTTTACTCAAAGTAAAAACAACTCACTTTTTCTCTGTCTCGGTTTCTTTTCTCAGCTCTGAAGTCCTCTCTCAAACCTAGCCCTTTCACTGGAAACATCTATCACATCAGTGGGAAAGTGCTGTTCTCTGGTAGGGCAATCTGTTTTCATCATCTCCTGCTAGATCTGCGTTTGTTTTATGAGAAATACAGTGTGACATAGTCAAGTATCAACTAAGATTGTTTATAAATATATATTGTTTGATTCCAGGATGTCTCTTGCTCTGGTTTTGTCTGTGTAGTTAATGTATGATTTTCCTATGAGAAGTAGTAGGCAGGGGGCCTGTGGGGTAACGCCACACGGTAGGACTCTCACCTCTGAATCCTCAAAGTGATGTGGCCTGCACACATCTATTCTCACTTTTTTTTCTCAGTCGTTTCTTCTTGTGGTCACGTTTTTTGGAGGTTTTTTTTTTTTTGGACTGTCCTCTGTTCCTTTGAATCTTTGGTGTAGTTGCATGGAGAGAGTGGGCAGATTGACAGAATGGAGAGAGCTGAGTGATTTAATAGTGCCTGAGTTACAGCACGCTAGATAGTGTAGTTAATTTAGGACCCGTACAGTTTGAACACCATCTGTGATGCCTAGTTATCCCCATTAATCATCTGTGTTTTGTTATGGAAATCTTTTCTATATATATAAATATATCTTCTTCTTTTTTTTGGTGCCTACGTTTGGTTTGTTGTGTGAAGTTTTTGTAACATTTTCTTAACATTCAGTGCATTGTGTTCAGTTGTTTTCAAGTTTGACTCCTTGCTTGTTTGTAGAGTGCAGAGTTGTAGTCAACACTGCAGAAGAGTGATTGATGGGATGGATGGCTGTTGGCACGCCATGCTAGACATAGCTCCGTCTGATGACATGTTTGATAAATTAGTGTGCAGCATGTTGGACTCAGTGTGTGTGTGTGTGTGTGTGTGTGTGTGTGTGTATATATCTGACTGCATTTGGTGTCTGTTTTCACTGCAGACAATGACAGACAGATGGAGGTAAACTGTAACTCTATCAGTGGGAATGTGACCGTTGCCCCCGATCAGGGGACTCACCATGGCCCGCGGACAACAAACAACTGTTATCTAATGTTTCACGGAGTGGGGCTCACCCAGGAGGGGCTGAAAGACTGGCTCCGGCATTGTGCCAAACAGGTAAATTCTCATAGGTTGGACCAGGTGGAATCCGCAGCCTTCTTTCATATTTTCTGCCCTAATTTTGTGTGAGGTTAAACAGTAAAATGTTTGCTGAGAGCAACTACATTAGTAGCATTATCATATATCCCTAAATATTTAACGAACACAAATTTTATGAATTACGGGCACTCCAATTCGGATGCACTCCAATAGTTTTGTGGATGCAGATTTATAGAGAGAGATAGAGATTTTATGCAATCATGCAAGGGTTAGGGCCTGAAAATGTCAGTGTGTTTGTGTGTCACAGAAAGTGCTAAAGAAAATCAAGAAAAATCAGAGGACGCTTACTCCACAGGAGATCAAATACATTCATGTGAGTATACACACACTTGCACGCATTCGAACGTCACCAAAGTGGATGCTGCTTCCGTGGTTTAAATACTTAAGTACTCATTTTATGTGTTTCTAGGTGAAAAGGCACCTGGATCCTCTCCCTTCTGGTTACTTCTACAATGGTCATCACTTTGTCAGTTTCTTTGGAGAAAAGCAACATTTCCATCCTCGTATCTTTTAATTCTGGTAACTTGTTAACCAGGTTAAAAATTTCAATTTCATGGTGGTGAAATTTTCTTGGTTACTCTACCGTACAAAAGTTTAGGGTCAGTAAGATTTTATTCAGTTATTTCTTTTGAAAAGTTGAACAAAGTTAAACCAAATATAGTTTTTAGCAAAAATAAATTGTAAACACCTAATAGTTTTACCATACATTTTTCTCACCATGAAAATAGCCACAGAAGCTGGCATGGCATTAAAAATAAACAAGCATTCAGCAAGGATGCATTAAATTGGTCAAAATTGACAAAGACCTTTATAATAATGTTTCAAAATATTTCAAATAAATGCTGTTCTTTTGAACTTTCTATTCATCAAATAATGATACGAAATAATAATAAGAAATCAGCATATTAAAATAATATCTGAAGAATCATGTGACGCTGAAGAATGGAGTAATGTAATAATATTTCACAATATTTTACTTATTGTACAATATTGTATTTATCAAATAGATGCAGCCCTGGTGACCATGAGAGACTTTTTTTTAAATCTTACTGACCACAAACTTTTATTTTACTTTCAACCTAATGTCTGCATACTGCAATAGAAGCATGCTGTCGATAACCACAGATAATATTTTTTTATCCGATAAGAAGGCTAAATGTTTAATCAGGAGTTTTGAAAAAATGGCGCATTTATACAGGCTGAGGCATCAGTTCAAATTATTGTGAGCTGTAATCGACAGCATTAAAACTAATATTGAATATTGACAGTATTGAATATTACTGTATTTGAGAGAACTGATGTGTTCGTGTGATGCTGTGTGTTGTGTTGCCATCACATGTTGAGTCCTTACATGTGTGTATTCAGTGATGGATCAGTTCATTGATCAATACGTGCATGACGCCAATAGAGAGATTGAGCGCTTCAACAGAGAGGTGGACCTGCAGCCACACGCTGATCTCTTCGACCCCTAATCCCCTCATCTGACAAATTCACTTTCCGGGGAGAGGGAGGGGGGTCACTTTACAATCACTAACGTCCACTATCCAATTACCCACACAAAACCGACCATTTCACAAGTTAGAATGAGGGATTTGCTGTTGAGGGATGAGGAGGATTTAGCTCACAGCCAGGGAGAAATATCACAGTCTAATGAGAGATCCTTTACCCAGCATACCATGACAGTAAATAATACTAGCACCCTGAGAAAGCTGAAACGCTGTTGTGCAAAGCAGCAATGCGAAAGCCTGTGTAAAGGGCTCACAGATGTGTCAAAACAATCCTGTTTAGAAAATATATTTTCTCTGTATTACCAAATGAAAGTTAAACAGAAATTAGAGGCTCATATATAAAGGATTTCCAGATCGTTACGCTCATGCTGTAGTGGTGAAGCTCCCTGCAGTGAAGTTGTCCTACTGTAATTCCAGTGCCTAGCAGACATATTGAGCTGAATCGTAATGAAGTTTGTCAGTGAGGCTGAAAGTGATCAAACAGAAGGCTCATTTCCAGCCGTGTGCATCTGGAAAGGCAGGTGCACTGCACCTGCCCTCAGTCAGCCTCTGTCAATCTATCGACCCCTGCTGTGAAGAGCAGGGCTGAGGATCTCTCATGTGCTGCACTTCTCTTTTCAGCCATTCTGAAGTGATTAACTGACACAGCGGTGCTTCAAGTCACCCCATTTTGGGAGGGTTAGGGTATCGGGTTAATGGAGGGTTTATTATTAGGAGTTCTAATGTGTTCTTAAACAGATTGACTATTTAATGTTGGGTTCGTGTAGCACCAGGAATCGATTTGGTGTGTTAAACCTGTGCTTGCCGAGTGTGCGCTGGTACAAAGGCATGGCAGAAACAGAATTAGTGTGCATATATCACCCCTGTACTGTACTAGATCTGTACCGTTCAGTATTACGGTCATATTTTAGCTCTATCCTGGGGTGTGTGTCATTCTATGCATGTTTTCTTTGACTAATCACTCACAGCAGGAGAGCAGCAGTGTCTTTTACATGTGTATACACACACATTTGACCTTTTGTCTGTAAGACAAGCCTTAAAAGTAATGCTTTTTAAATGATTACGGCGCCACTAAAAGAGCAGAGGGATGCACTTCCAAAGAAACTCGGACACTGCTGGTCTCTTCTGTGCTGCAATATACTGTACCGGTGTTAATACACTACATGGTTAGCAGCTCTTTCACCAAGCCATATTCACTTTTTGGTCAGAGTTACTGTGGAGATTTATGAGCTACATAGTGCTAATGTTGCTATGAGCTTTTTTTAGTGTTCCTTTTGAGATTTATAATATAGTAACTTTGCCTTTTATGTCTCTTGACACTTCTGTACCTTGTCAGTATGCAAGTGCAGTTTTACTCAAGGGCCGCCCTGTTGTGAACAAACTCTGAAAGGACGTTGCTGAGATGTAGATCCGCGCTAAACCGAGAAGCATAGAGAATCTGACTACTCGCTAATAGGTGACAGAGCCTCAGAGGTAAGCAGTCACTTCACGAGTGCTGAAACACAATCACCAATGTGCCGCGCACACACACACATGCTCATTTAGCTCGTGGTGTTGCCATTAGTCGGGTTCTACACAGCAGCTGTCCTTAAAGGGTACAGGGCTACGAAACACTTATATAATGTGTAGTTCGAAGTAGCGGCCATTTTTAGCACATACTATCCGCATGTGTTAAGATGTCTTATCAATTTCTATTTATGCTAACAGAAATGCCTTTCACCAAACTGGAACAACCAAGAAAGAAATTGCTAGAGTTCGATCTATTTTTCATATTGGAAAAACGTGATTTATCTTCGCAAATTCTATTTTTCTAATGCTGTGAAATCAATTAAATTGGAGCCAGATGATAGTATTCCTCAGGCGAAGCAGATTCTCTCCTGTGACAGATATTTGGCTGCCGCTGCAGAGTCTTGGCAGAGAGCAGGGGCATCCCCGGGCAGAAAGCGCCAGTGTTGGTGAAAGGATAGAAGAATTGTTTGTCTATGTTAGTGTAAAGGGCCAGTAAGGGTCTGCTGAGTAACAGGAAGGCACTGGAGGGCCACCGTATAAAACTCAAGACAAAGAAAAATTCTTGTCTTAGACTTTGGCTGATGGATTTAGAAGCTTTTTGTCATAGATGAACACTAAGAATCTGGCTTTTGCTCCTCACACAGACGACTCTAGTGAGGCCCTCCAGAGGCACTTCCTGGTATTGTGGGCTTGAACCCCCTCTGGCCCGCACAGCTGTGCTCATCGAGCTGAAGTTAGAGGAATAAAACAGAGTTTGGTGGAAAGGTTTTTGACATTAATGTCAAGGATAATCTTAAATTAGTGGCTTTAATGCTATTCAGATAGGAGGGATAGATTTATGTCTTTTTCGTTTTGATTTGTTTAACACAAACCGGCCTGGGTTTTCCAAAAGGTTAAAGAGAAGCACTTTTTATTAGATAAATATTCAGACTTTCAATGGTCACTGAAGGCTTGTTCCTGAGTCCTGACCAAAACTTTTATCTTGTCCCTAAATCTGATAATTTGTTTTTAATAACCAACCAGAAGCTGGTCATTCTGACAGCACATGTCTCATGTTCTCAGGTATCTAGTAGAGTAGGTAACACCAGCATAGAAGTTTTATATTAAACGTCTTTCACAACCGGCCTACATTTGGTGCGTTATTTTGTGGATGATGTGCTGTGCTTCGAGGGCCACAGTAGAAATAGGACAAGCTAAAGGGCTAAATAATTTCCAGTTGCTGCTGGCTGGCTGGGGACAAGCCTGAAAATTGAAATAGCTAAAAAAGAGGTATTATTAGCTAAACGTTATTTGCACAAAGCTAAACATGCACCCATAAGGTCTTGTGTTGGCGTTATGGGGAAACATTGGACCTTTTTGACTCGGAGGGAAAATGTGGAATTCAAATAGATTTACCCGTCTTTACCTCAGTTTCAGAATATCCAGTGCTCGGAGTTCATGATATCTTTGATATCTTCTTAAATGAACAATATTTAAGATGGTTCTACTTGAAAGGTGCCAAAAGTTCTTAAATAACTTTTTTTTGTTTAAAGGGGTTAAACAAAAGTTTGTGAAAAATCAAAATTTAAGTGTTGTTTGCACAAAACTACTGTAACTCATGTTTTCTCCTGTGACTGATGCTTTTTTCCCCCTAATATATATGGTGTGTTTATGACAAAATAACATATTAAAAATATAAGCTACTTCCGTTCCGTTGATGGGTTATTTGTATTGTCTGTCATTCTTATTGGTCTATTCAGTGAAACATGCTGGCAACAAACATCTTCAGACAAAAGCAGCCTGGAAGAGAAGTGTGTTTGTGTGTGTAAGGTTATCAACTCAGCAGTGGATTTGTCACATGGTGATAACATCTTTAAGGATGCCAAACCCAGCATAAACGCTAATCTCTGGGGCCTGCAACAACAGAAGCTATTTATAACCTTGTATGTGTATCTGTAATCTGTAATCGAACACTGTTTTGTGTGTCAAATTGAAGCCTACCACACATCCTTTTCCTGGCCTTCATTTAGGGTCGCTGCCCACCCCACCTTCCAAAATTCTGGTATTCAACCCACTGTGACTCTAACGCACCCCAAGGATCTACACACACGTCCCAGCCCAACCTTAGCCATATATACAGCCTGCGTTCCACTCTAAGGTGGGTTCAAAACAATGCGCTCACCCTCTTGCAGATACAATACCCACATTTCTTTCAACTTACATCAGGCTCCCTTCATCTCTCCCTGGAGACGGGACCCACCCTTTGCACACATAGCAGCCATTGTTTCTCACTGGCCAGTGGGAAGGTTCAGGGTTTCATTTCTGATGCACTAGTTGTTATGACTGCATCATGCATACCCTACTATGGTCTGTTTATCTCCCATGGCTCCTCATAGTGGAGTGAAGAGAGATTTTGGCACTGGGTGCTTGATCCAGATAGTCTAAATGTGGGATGTTAGGAGAATGTACATCAAACCATCTGAAATGCTATAAATGTAAACATATTTTACTCGAACAAAGCTTTTTATTTTTAAAGCAAGTTTACATTTTTGTTGTATAAATATATTATGAATTACAATTTGATTAAGATTTACGCATTGGGCAGATACCGACTGTATCTGGTGTAAAAAGTCATGGATTCCTTGGGAATCAAACCCATGACCTTGCTGCTGCTAGCGTCATGCATCATCATGTTCAAGCTACATTGAACATGGCAGGTGTTTGGTCATCTCTGTCCTTTTGATCACTGTCAGGGATTGATAAATTGGATGGACAATAATTGTCCCTTTTGTTGGACACACACTGAGGCCAGAGTGCCCTTTAATCTGCTTTAATCAGAGTGTCATTTTATGTCCCTGACACTTGCAGTGCCTAAGAGGCAGGAGAGATAGACTGTGTCACAATGCAAATATAGCATTCACACACACACATACAGTGACATAAATGTCATTAAGAAACAGCTTATTCAAAATATGAGTGGCTATTATCACGCTTTGACCTGGAGATGTTTCTAATGTATGCTTTTGCTCTATTCTTTCCCCTATTTTAGGCTACGTTCATACTGAAACCCAAAGCGCCCAATTCCAATTCTACTCAAATGTGATTATAGACCACAGTTTAAAAATTTGGGGTCGGTAAGATTTTTTTGAAAGACGTTTTTGTGCTCACCTAGGCTGCATTTATTTGATAAACAATAAAGTAAAAACTATAATATTGTGAAATAATATTACAATTTATTATATTTTAACATTGTTATTTATTCTTGGGATGGCAAAGCTGAATTTTCAGCAACATTACTTAAGTCTTCAGTAATTAAGTCTTAAGTCTTCAATGATTCTTCAGAAAACTTTCAAATATTCGGATTTGTTGTTTAAGTAACATTTCGTATTATTATCAATGTTGCAAATGGTTGTGTTGCTTTAAATTTTTGGCTCAAACTGATACATTTTTCAAGGATTCTTTGATTGGAAAGTTCAAAAGAACAGCATTTATTTGATATATACCTTTTTTGTAACAATGTAAAAGTATTTACTGTCAGTTTTGACCAATTTATAGCAAAAGTATTGCATTAATATTGTTGATTATTTCCAGATTCAAAATGTCCAGATATTACATTCAGCTATAATAAGAATTAAATATAATTCTTAAATTATTATTATTTTTTTATAATAAAATATGTTCATGTATTGAGTTAAGTTTATTCTTATTACCCTAACAACAAAGTTGGTTTCATCTTTCAGGCATAAATATAATTAATTTTAATGAAAAAAGTTGGCTACATTTAAAGATATGTACTCTATCTTACACAGTTTAGCTTGTTGTTAATTTATCTTATGATTTCATATTTCTATGAAAATTATATATTTTTTTGTAGTGTTCTCAAACAACAGATATATATCTGATTTATTTTCAAATAATATTATGAAAGCGAACCAGATCATCGAGGTTCACACTTTTATCAAAAAAAAATGTAATACATGTGATAAGGAAAAAAAAATCTGTTGGACCACATTGAACTGCAGTGTGACCATAGCCTCGTGTCCTCTAGACAAAATAATGCTCTGTTCACAGTTCATTCTCCAGGTTAAGAACATCAAAGGTCATGAGAACATGCATGTCATTGCTTTCTTTAGTGACAGCAGCCAGCTTGAGTTGTGTGGCATTTCCTGTGACTGCCTCACCTTCCCAAACTCTGCTCTTATTCATCTTCAGATCCGTTCGTTTCTCCCCCACGACACACACTTTTTGAGCACCTGATACCCGCACGCGAAAACTCACTGATCTTTGGGTTGCCAGCACACCTGTGCGGGGCTCCAGCAACACACACCCTCTTACCCACGCTGAATATACAGCGGGGAATGGATCTCCGGGCTTTTCACACACACTCCTGATTATAAAGTCACACAGCGACATGTAGTCCTGCTCAGGGGGTTTCCGTCCATAAAGAGCAAGACGATAAACTCCCGCTCTGGGCGCGCACACACTCACAGTAACCTTAGTTTCTGTAAATGTCAGGAGTACATATCGGGACAGAGGAAAATGGGCCTCCTCGTGGAGCTCAGCGCAGAGGACCGCGTGTATTTGTAGGTCTGGCGTGGCACAATGGAAGGTGATGTTGCACCGCCCCTGTGGTGCATTCACTATCGCCCCTGTGTGGCTGAAATGGGACAGTCCGGCTTCTTGAGTGCGCATCCCGGGACCACACCACAAGCCAAGGTCTGCAGGATACAGAACATTTGGATTCAACCCTTGACTTTGACAGTGCAGCAGGTAGTTCCCGGCGTTTTGAAAAGTCCCACTTCCACTATCGTAATCCCGCACAAATACGGACAGCCGGTAAAATCCTTTGTACGGGCACATGACGTTGCACACCAGCTGCTCTGCTGTAATTTGCAATGCAAGGCAGCGCTTGGCCGTAGCGGCGTCGAGCTCGGGGTGCGTGAGTTCACACACCATCATCAGAGGTCGTGTTGTGTGTAGGATCACCTTGCACTCGCCACCCTCACCCACCTCCACTGCCTCTTCTCCTGCGGCGCTGCAACCCTTGACACCTAGAGCCGATGACCCCGCTGCCAGGCCCCAGTTCAGGTAAGGGTTATCAGGAAGGGCCTGTCTCTTCTGGATACTCGGGCACTCCAGCTCAAGAGAGCAAACCCACCGCAGAACACCATGTTCACCCTCTCGTCGGGCAAACAGCTTCACCTCGTAGGCCCCAGGCTCTGGGGGCAGTAATCGCAGCTTCATCCCTTGTTGACTAACTGACAAGAGACCACAGGAGCTGTCAACCTCCTCCTGCTTTAGAGTTCCTGTCTCGTGATCCTGCTGCCTCATCTCATACGAAAAGGTCAATGGTCTAGAGGATCTCACCGACACAATTGCTTCCCCATCGTCTGTGGAAAACCAATTTTGACACATTTAACACAATGTTACAGTAATATTGTGCCTACGTTCACACTGGAAATTTTTGGCAGTGACAACCGCATTCTTAAATTCATGCACGGAGAACCACTCCTGAATTTACGATGGTTGACATAAGAGGCTTTTGCAACAGTTAGTTAAAGGAGCTAGCTACCAGTCCCCTGTGAACTAAATGTTAAAGTATGAATATGTTAGCCTTACCGTTATCTACAAGCTAGTAGTGTGCTCCAAAACAATAACAAAATTTGCATTTAGAAGATATTCAAAACTTAGTCTCTCACTTCTGCCAACGTAGATCAATGATTTTGATGACATCACTATGCACTTCAGCTTCTCATTAGATTTTCTGTCCAATCAAATGCTCTCTAGAATCTGAAGCTGCCCCCCTACATGATAAATAGAGGCTGAAGCTATGGCTATAATCGGTCACTTGTTTGCACATTTACTATTTTCTACATGGTGAATGGCACATAGTACACTACATAGGGGATAGGGAGACACTTTCCATTGGGGCAAATGAAGTCTGGTTGCATGTTAGTGTCCCGCGAACCACCGCAGCGCGCACACAGTCTGCTCCGGTCCAGAGACACGATAACACAGAGCGAGTCAGCGCAGACCAGAAAATGTATCGGACTCAGACGCATTTGAATTCTGCACAGAATGCTATATTTTAAAGCAAAATGGAGAAACGGTTACAGATTAGGAGGGAACTGCGGCTTTACCAAGCTCAACTGCTCGAGCCAAGCTGTCTGTGATATAAACAAAGCGCTATTTTAAAAAAGGGGAGGAGCTGTTCAAATTGTCTTCCTGTTTCAGTGGAAATTACATCAACACGTTGAATAATGCTGCGCGTTTCAAGGCACTTCAGTGGGCCTTTAAGCATGCCATTCAACATCAACAACTCCATAGCGTAAAGGTTGAGAAGTGCCTGGACTTAGGCATCGGTTCATCTGCCGGCTTCTCGAACAAGAAAAAAAGTCGGGTGGGACTTGATTTTGTCCATCAGGAATTGATTGGATCATTGTGGTTTGCTATTGCTGTGATCTCATGTGAGTGACAGGTTGTCCAGGCCTCACACCAGTAAACACGTCAGCAGAGAAGAAATAAGATGTCGTTTTTAAGGCACTGTGTCAAGTTAAATAATGCATCTTGAGACCCTGGGTTTTCCAGGAGTGACTCTGCATAGCTTCAGTGTGTATGCAGCCATTCTTGGTACCACTATTTATTTAATATTATTGCCTGCTTTTGCTGCAGTGCATGCCATAGAAAGTATTCAGTAAGTTTTAGTTACAATAACTTTTTTTCTCATGAGACAGTCTAATCTGCAGCAAACAGTCTAAACAATTTTCTCAGAGCTTCTCAACACGAGCTGATGCCAGCAGCCGCCTATTATCTCATTACAGCGTAACAGTGTGTGTGCTTCACTGATCTTCCCTTTTGAGTTTCTGAATTATTCTATTATGCATGTGTAGTTGCGTTGATAGTGTATGTTTTGTGTTCATTTGCACACCTGTGATAGTTTTGTACTGTGTAGGTTGTGTGAGAGTCAATCCAAACTGATAAAATGCTGAGGTCTTCAAGGGTCTCATTTCAAACTCTTCCATAGAGATGGGTGTGGTGAGCAGTTGCCAGGTCTCGTCATCAGGGAAATGTGAGTTTATGAACTCACTGGGTTCAGTCAGGAAATAAAAGTCATCATACCTGAAAGAGACAGACATCAATACTTATTATTGCAGTTGTTTTTTATTGCAGTATGTGTCCTCAATATTTTGCATCCTATTTTCTCAGAAGAGACTGTAAATTTGCTGTAAACCAACCAGATCATTTTTTGATGAATTACAAACTTTGATTTTGAAGCAAAAAAGGATTTGTAAACCAGAAAAAAAGTAAAATATATAAAAATGTATAGTCAGTGTACTCAGTGTAATTTAAGAGGGGACTGAATATACTGATACAATCAAATACAAAGTACAATATAAAACTTGATTCATAGTCAAGAGTTAGAAGTATAGAAATACATTTTCAGTTTATTGCAGAATATTCATAAAATTAAACGTTTTGAGTTAGGAGGCCGACTTGTTTAAGTCATTCACACTGCTTCATGGGAATGGATGGTTGCAGTCTTGTTTTGTTTTGTTTTTGTCTCAAATTGCAGATTTTTTTTTTTTCAATTCTTTTTTGGTGGATCGTTCTTTTCAGGAGGATTTATTGGTAGTGTAATTCACTGGCTAATAATAAAAAAAAAATTGTTTAAATCATGTTGAAATAACACTGACTGATGGTTTCAACAGAATACCAACAGGATATACCATTGATTAATAATATCAGAATTAATTAACCCTATAAGACTGATGTTTTTAGAATTGTACTAAAAGCCTTTTTACTTGCTAAAAAGTATAAACTATCAATCCGATGACAGAAGGCATAAAGTAGATTGTGCACAACAAGTTTTTTTGCAGCAAATGTTTGATCATGATGATAATTTAGAGGCCTTAGGCCTTTAGAGGTTTACAGCAGGCTATGATCATGATACACGTCTTTTTGCTGTGAAATCTTTGCTGATTTCTATAAAGTAAACGTAAGAATAACGGTTTATTAGTAATATTTCCGGAGGAACACTTACTAGATTGAAGCAATGTTATTGTATTGCATTGAATTTAATTTTCCTTCCCAAAATAAAAACTAGAGAACTTTGATCATAAAACTAAGCTTTTAAATATCATTTTACGGAGACATTTTTTCTCTCTCCCGTGGAACCCAACTCTTAAATGCTCTAGAATATACACAAACAATGGTGTATGTGAAAACTGCTTATGATTTGTCAGTATGTATGATATGTAGAACTGACACTCTGAGGAGCCTGACCTCTTCACAAATGTTTTGCTTTTCATATCCACAGTGCCAGCGCCCCAGCAAGCATCAAGCAGCCACCACTGACCCCCCACGAAAACAGCATTCCACTCATGATCGGAACGCTTCTCAGCTAAACTGTGCCTGGCCTGGTATCCAATGCCTTTGCTGTACCCACTCACCTCCACACACTCAATGCCCAGCTCCCTAGAGAAATAGAGAAAGTTCAGAGCCGCGTTCTACTGGAATGATGTGTGTGTGTGTGTGTGCACATACTGTACCTGTGCCCATTTACCTGCACATTTCCACACAGAGACTGGAGTATCCACTACATACAGCCTTTCCCTTCCTGATGACCTCATCAGATGAGCAAATCTTCTGAGAAATACCAAGGTATCCCTCTAAATCATACTCTACGCACACAAATGCATTAGACAATTTGCACGAGGAAGTACATTCATAAAGAGTTAAAAGTGAAACAAAAAAAAAGATTAGAAACCATTTTTCACTCAGAAATTGCTAGCGACACTGAATTAAAAGTAAAACTTTGAGGTAGAAAAACTGAAATATTTTGTTCTTCTAAAGCATACTCCAATACTTCGTTTTTTACAGTGCATGATGCATTTTTTGCATGTGCAGTTACCAATATTATGGCATAGCCAGATCCATGCGGCCCTGAGTTTTTCCAGATCATTTCTGCTCCCCTCAGTGACTGCACACGCAATCTTCTGAGCATCAAATACTTCCAGCTCCCTCAACTGAAAAACACATATTCATGCCTAAATCTATTGTTTATGAGAACAAAGAGGACAAAGACTTGTGTGTTGTCTGTTACCTCTTTTCCTTTCTTGATTGAGAATGTGTCTACTTTGTTGAAAATATCAGTGCTGGAGAACAGCAATTTTCTGGGTTTCCTCTGGGAGGAGGAGACTGCAGGTAGATAAGGTCTCCCAGATTGCGTGCCAGGGCTGGCAACTGAGAGGGGTTTCACAATCTCCTCTTGGCTCTTTTTCACAGTGCTCCTCTTTCTTACACTCACTGACTTCGCCGCGCTCTCGGCGGACAGTTGGCGCTTTGTGCTCGGCCTTTGTTCCTCACATAACTTCCCTTCATAGTTCTCTAATAGCACCTTATGTGAAACCGCATTTTCTTGTATCGGTACAATGGTTAAGGGCTTTGGGTCATTTTGCTCCACTGACTGTGAACCTCCTCGGTGGCTCTTATTAGTCAAACAGACTTTGGTGCTGTTCTCATCCCGCATGCTGTTCTCATGGCTTCCAGATACATTTTGAAGTTTGTATTTCACCACACCATTTTCAACTTTCAAATCAAAGTTTTGTTTCTGCGTGTCATTGTTTGAGTCTGTGGCAGTTTCTTCTGGTTGGCGGCCTCGGTTGCTGTTTTTTGTCGTGATTGGTTGTTGAACAGTTTGAGCTTCATCCATGCAATTGAGAGGAAAAGAAAACATCTGAACCGCATACATCGTCCTGCTTGTTGCATCACTTTAAACCCAGAAACTAACATCTAGTACATACTTCAAATGATCCCTTAGTTTTTAAAAGCTCCAAAATACATTTTAAATGCAATTATCTTACCTTTTTCAGTTGTGAAACTCATGCCTTCTGTCACTTTCAGAAGTGTTGGTAGTGGCAGATTTATCCAAAGTTTGTTTTCTATTGCAGGGGTCTGTCTATATCTATTTTCTCCCTGTGTCCACCCCTATGAAAGGATAGCACGCTAAAAATACACTTGGACTTATCATGACAACCAATGAGCTCAAAGATACAAGAGGGGGGGCATTTGATGTTGGCACGAAGGGTGAAGAAGGTTGTGGTTGGTAACGGATCAATTTATTAGCTTTTTTACTAGCAAATTATATTTTTTATTAGCAAATTATATTACAAATATGCGTAAACAATGTCTATCTTGACCTTGTTAAGGGTATTAAAGTCTTTGTGGGAAAGTTTAGTCTACTCAGGATGAAGAAATAAAGTGACACACACACACATACACATTAATAACAATAATTCACAACAATTATCCTTCAGTGCCAGTCTTGGACTCATTAACCTCGTACTCCAAATTACTTTCCTTCTGTAAATATGGAAATTGAAGCTGACCATAGTGGATACTGTCGCTATGTGCGGGAAAACAAAGCAGTTTTTATTTCCATACATAGAGACCCTTCCTCCAAAAACATCCTCATTGGCTCGGGCTCCATGTCAGACAGTCTGTCGGGGGCCCTCAAGAGTCCTCTTACATACCCCCCTCTAGCAGGCTGAATTACCCCTGACCAATTACCCATCGGCATTGTGCCAAAATAGCAATGACTACAGTTGTGTGTTTATTCATGAAGTTCTCCCCTCCAGGTTTTGGAATAAAACTTGTTTTTGCTTAAGTTTTCCTGTTTCTGGTTTGCATCATGTTAAAATGAAGGACTTTTCTATTCAGCCTTGTAGATAACACGAAGACATGAAGTGATGGAGACATGGTCTTTCTCCTGCTCAAGATGTGATAACATAAAAGTCCAAAAAGTAGCCTTGAACAGTACCAAACATTAATGAGGCATAGTGTGTGTTCTGTCTTTTATCTATATCTTACACTCTTAAAAAAAAAAAAGGTTACAAAAACAGGGTTTTCACAGTGATGCCATAGAAGAATCATTGTTTGCTCTGCAAAGAACCTTTCAGTGAACAATTCTTAAAAGAGTCGTTTTTTTTCTTAGTGTGAAGAACATTTTAACATTTTTTGAGAACTTGAAAGGTTCAATTCTGTTAAATGTTCTTCATGGAACCAAAGATGCCACAAAAAAAGAACCTGCATTTTTAAAAGTGCATGTAGACAAACCATGGTTTTGGTTCTCAATCCTTCACCTGCAATGCACTGCACTGCACTGCACATGGTGGATGTCTCCCTTATCTAGGCTACTACACCTGATTCAACTCATCAGCTCATTAGTAGAGGCTCCACGAACTAAACAGGGTGAAGCAGAAGGGAGACAAATGTCCAGAGCTGTCAAGGATCAACACAGTGTTCTCCTCTAAAGTTGAAGCAAATCCACACAGTAGCTAAATGTCAGTTTTCTGAATAAAGAATCCAAATTCAGTCACTCACAACTCACAAAGAAAAATATCATATATATAAATAAAAAACTAATGCAGAGTCTTTCAAATTGCCAAGAGTGCACGTGTGCCGCGTTCTCTGCGCGCTCTCTAGTGGGGAAACGTTTCCCCTCATACTAGTTTTAAATTATAGCCTACATGTTAGTCATCCGTGCTTTATTCATTTAATGTCACGTTTAAGATGTTCATAAACAGGACAAAATCTGTTTGCCCACTTACATTTACTCAGTAATGATATTGATGGACCATCCGTGTCATCCAGTCGCTCTGTTTTGCTGGAGCGTGATTGGTCCAGATTCACGAGCTTTTGTTCGCGTGCTACACTCCTTGCGCTCGTGCTGTCATGCACACCTGCGGTACACTCGCGCGCGCCGCTAATATGCCTGCCAGTGTTTCACACTCTGGAGAAAAGAGAACAACTTGACTAGTTAGTTTGGATATAAAGGTTAACTCACTCTCAGAAAACATTCCCCTGGATGTGATTTCAGTCATTTTAAGGTATACCAAACTGAAAGACGTCATGAAGACGGATAAAGACGGTAAAGACATGAGGGGAGTGACTGTTAACCGCTTTGCTGAAGGTAAGAATATTTGCATCTAAAGAGACAAGGTGATTTTCTTTATAAACTTTATGAACTTTATAAAAACAAATATTTAAGGAAATATGCTTGTGATAACAGTTGTAAGAGTTTTCGTGTTAAAACAAAGTTTGTTATTGTGAAAGTCGTACTGAATGTCTCGCTCTCTGTGTAACATAAGTGAATAACCTACTACAAAAACAACAAATATTGTTGAACTAAATTACATTTTATGAAAAATGTAACAAGCATTACCATGGCAACCATAGTTACTGTATCCTACAGTTACTTATACTAGGCTACTATAAAGCCATAAGAAATTAGGATGTAGGCTACATAAAACAGAACAGCCTTTTTGTTTTTAATTAATTAATTCTGTTTTTTTTTTTAGCAAGTTACCACATTTATATTTTTGTACAAAGTCGCATTGTGGTATGGTTACCATGGTTATTTTAATGGATATGGCATTTATCAGAAATCAAAACTTCATTATCACTGCTACAGTCCTATTGTCTAGCCCATGTTATCCCAGACTGACACAAGGACAAAGTTAGAGTGCAAAATGCCCAGCCTATTAACCATGAGAAATAGGGATCATTTATAATTAATATATATGTTATAATTGTATATGTTTTGTCAATCTGATTTTATATATCTCAAATCTCTTTATTTGATATACATGCAGTCATTTGGACAGACACACTGCATTAGGACTTTCCTAAAAATACATTTTTGAAAACTGAAATCTGATCTTATCATTTTTAAAAAACAATTTAGTCATGATGTATTAACACATTTAAATTAAAAATGTGCAACGAACAATGATTTTGTATCAGCATAATTACCTTCACTGGTTTTTCTTCATGATTAAGCTGTATTTTCTGTTCCTTATCAAGACTGAGCAAAAAAAGGATGAGTGTCCCAATAGCTTGCTATACAATAGAGCTTCACATAAGCTGCCTGGGCTCATGCTCTTAGGGTAATGAGGGAAGGAAGGACTGCTGGATGAAGACTCATCTTTTTATTCTGCTGTCTTTCAGTTGTTAGTCTCATGAAGTCAAAAGCTATCAGGATATCTGATCAAAGCCTCTTTTTAAGGTATCATTGCACATCTATAAATATCAGCAATCGCCACAGCAGTGGTGCCGTTCCGAATTCTTGTTCACCTGACAAGAATCGAAAAGTTCCCTTAGTACAATTGTAGACATAACATGCTTTCTCCCACATATTCTCTCGGCCTTGGAGCTCATAAAGAACTACAAGTGTGAGGTAACTCAGATTTTGTATTACTCTCTTCGTTATTGTATCATCTTAGGTTGTGAATTCAGTAAATCTTGTGACAGACTACTTTGCTCCATTGTAGCATCTTTTTAGATTAGTTCTAGCATGTCAAGCTATTTAGCCTAGATATAACTATTGTTTTTTCTCATCTCAAATCTTCACGAATCTCTCTCACAAGCACGTGTACATGCGCTCAAACAGACACGTATACTCTAACTGATACATTACTTACATTAGGTGAGGGTCCAGGGGAAGGAAGCTCCACCCTTTGTTGTTCGCTTAGTTTGACTGTTGGCTCTTCCTGGAGATACAATACAAATCTCTCTGTGTGTGTAAAGCAAACTCAAAAAGAGCTGGTGTTTGCAGGGCTTGACCCTAATTCATGTACCAAAGAAAACTAAAGAAAGAATTTGGACAAATTTAAAGGGGAACTTGGCAACTATTTCAACTTAATAAAACCGTTTAGAAATCATTTGGATGGTTAAATAACCTGTTCTGGTGAGAATGGTGACTTTCCCCGCTCCCCCCAGCGTTCCCAGGGAGAAAACCAACCTTGCAACGTCCCGGTAAGTTGGAAATAGGAAGTCTTGTGAGAAGCGAGAACGAGCGAGAAACACAAACTGCTTTACGGCAATTCGACATTAATACACACGCCCCCCTCAATGTGTATGATGTATTACCCACCTCGGTAGACATAGCCTACCTCCACATGATAAAGTTGGCCGGCTCCGATAATAACAAATGCACATGAGCAGCGGTAGAAAGGGGGAGCAGGGTGCCGCAAGTGAGTTTTTTTAAGACAGTGTTGTGAAATATACGCCCCACAGCTGTAGGGGGAGATCGTCGAATCAACATGCGACAACAAAAGTGAAAATTCAGCGAAGAAATGGCTAGAGTTGCCAAGTTCCCCTTTAACTTTGTGACATTGTTACAGCTGATATCAGCATAACAAACCCCATTTTGACATCCTGTGTAGTTACTGCATTTCGCCTTTTCAGGGCATAATAATATTTCAGTGGGTTCAGTTCCAGAAAGGAGTGTGAATGGAAGGTGGACTGAGACCCAATCACAAACAGAATGGACTTGACTTGACAGAAAACTTGATCACTCAGTTCATATTTTGGTTTAAAGTCAACATGAAATGAAAATTCTCCCAATCTATTTTCTAAATGCATCTTATTGATCATATTGTGATTGATTCATCCCTGCATATGATTGTTTTTCAATCAAAATCTTCGATCATCAGGTAAAACAACAGACATCTCTCTGTTGACATATGCAGGACTTCACCAATCATCTTTTTCAATAATCAGTTTCACTCAGATGTATGTAAAACTGATAAAGAAGAAAATAGCTGTCACTACTTCAATAAAAGCATTGAAACATCAGTTTACAAAATAAATAATCTGCAGTAGGCCTAGTTCCAATTTTTACTTGCCCAGCCCACAAAAATAATCAACTCTTATTTTTTGCTAATAATTTTTCTCTTTGTAAGAAGTAATCTTTATGTTTCATTAAATGTCAAGCTTTCTTTGCTATTTGTTTCCCCCACAAAAATAATCCCTTTTTAACAAAATGGACATTTGATGAATAATGTTTCCATATTACAAGGACTATCACAAGAACATTTAGCAAATTCGACAAAACCTCATCTATGTCTGCCAGCTTGATAACAAGATAAATACCTTTCTGAATGGATAGTTTAGGAATTATGCAAAAGGATGGTAAGTGACGTTTTGGGGTTGTACCTCATGACTTAAAGTGTTACAGTCAGCAGTCACTACCCATAAATCTCCAATACCCATTGTTTGTCCAGAAAGACAACACAACATTTCCTGTGAAGCTTATGATCTGGCTATCACAGTTAAACACAGATAGGAAGTGAGGTCTAGGGCACACAAGTGACAGCATGTGTGTGTGCGTGTGGTATACCCTATTCTATGGGGACAAAATGTCCCCACAAAGATGGCCATATTCGAAGTCCTTGTCTTTGTGGGGGAATTTTTTGGTCCCAATGAGGAAAACAGCTTATAAATCATACTAAGGGATGTTTTTATTAAATGTAAAAATGCAGAAAGTTTTGTGTGATGGGTAGGTTTAGGGTTAGGGGATTGAATATACAGTTTATCCAGTCTAAAAATCATGTCTATGAAAAGTCCCCACAAAACATGAAACACTAGGGGGCAGTGCGTCACTCAGAACCCTCTATGGTTTGCTGTAGGGATCTCTTTCTGTTGGCCAATGCACATTGCGTCCTTAATCTAGCCCAAATATTTCGCTGTGCTGTATGTGTGTTTGTCTGGCACCTCCGGACAACTGCTGAACTCAAGGACAATAGCAAGGTCAGAGATTGACCTCACTCTGTGTACCCACAGCATCCTGTGCCCACATCAGGATTTAACCCTTCACACCCCACATACACCACGTCTCTTTTGAATTAATCAGACTATACGTGTATGTACGGACAGCATGATGATTGTGAGGTATATTTCAGTAATGTCGTTGTGTGGTTGGTAGCGTAGGTGGACGAATCAAGCGCTTTTTTGCATGTCATATTGTGGGAGGTAATCTGTCTGGCCATAACTGAATAGTTTAAAAGAGCAGTGCATCACAATACAGTCTAGGGTTTACACAAGAGCTGTGTGAACATTCCAGCCACACACACACACACGCATACACACATGCCTCTAAAAAATGTTTTACATGCTGCCAGCAGGTGTGTTTTGTGGAAAGAGCCTTTGATGGCAACAAAATGGAGGGAGGAGAGGTTCAACACTTTTTATAAGACTTATTGTGAGGGCTGAAATAAAAAACAGACCCCCCCCCCCAACCCCACTCGACAAAGAAATAAAACAAACAGCCATTGGAATGATGAGTCATTACAGTGCTTGCTAGAAATTCCTCGAACATTCTATTCTTCTTTGCCTTCTTCATCTTCAACATTGTTTTCTGCTGCTTCTTCTTTGTCGTCATCTTCCTCGTCATAATCTGTTTCTTTTTCTACTTCAACATTTCTCTACTTCTGCTTTGTCTTCTTGATCTTCTACTTCTTTTGTTTGCCTTTTGGTTTATCATCATCTTTTTGCTTACTGTTGCTTTTTCTTTTTTATTTATAATCATCATCCTCTTTTTTTCATGTACTACTTCTCCACAAATTTCTGCAATTTATTCAGCCACTGTTCAAACTTAAATGGATAGTTTTTTAATGGATAGTTCACCCAAAAATGAATGTTGGTACAGTAAGTAAAGCAGTTTTGGTTACCATCGACCTCCATTGCATGGACATGAAAAACACATTTCTCAAAATATCTTCCTTTATGTTTCACAGAAGAAACATATATAAAGGATAAAATCATTTTCATTTTCTGAGATCTTTTCTTTTAAGAGTGCAAAATATATTGTATAGCCTATATATTTGGTTTATTAACTTTATAATTTAAAATTAAAGTTTAATTTAAAAAAAGTCTTCCATTGACTTAAATTGCTAGAATGTTTGTCATTCAAAACCTATTTTTTGCAATAATGTGCTATTTGCGTACTTTTTTTAACATCTGTTTGAATTTGTATTTTCTCTTGCATTTATTTAACCGTATAGGACTGTGTAGATTCTCAAACAGCTGACTGAGAACAAGATGCTTATAATGTGTCAGCTAATTTCTGAAGCCATCTTTGCAGTAAATCTCTCTGAAACATTATTGTTTCAACATGTCTTCACCAAAAAT